CCGGCGGCTCTGCGGCCCCCGGAACAATGTCATTTTTTTATGAATGAAAGTGGGGCCCGGCGCTTGAATGCGCGTGTCATTCACTGGCGTGACAGAGGCCGTCGGGAGGTCAGCGCGCGCTTTTAGCGCCTGCTCGGACAGTCGCGCTTCCAGGGCGCCGAATGGGCGCGCAGGGGGGCGCACATTAGCATGCATATTCGGATAAAGATATTGCTCCTACGGTTGTCAGCGGCCAGGCCAGGGCGGGCGACCGGCCAGGAGTTGATAGGTCAATAAACTTAATCCGGTTCCTTAACGAGATGGGCCGGGCAGTAAAAATACAAAGACCTCGTGAAATTTACAGAGGTCCGGGCTGGCGCTTTCCCCAGGAACATAAATTATGGAGCAGAGTGGGAGCTGGCAGAGGTCAAGGGCAGTGGGGAGGGCTTGCTCTTCACCCCCAGACCCAGCTAGGGTGGCAAGGGTCCTCCGTTTCTCCACCCGGGGCCCTGTTCTCGATGGGGGGCTGGGGAGGCCTGCGGGGGGCCTGGAGAGTGCTCTAGGGGTTCGGGGCCTTCTCTCATCCGCTCCTGGGCAGAGCTGGACTTTGAGCCCTGCAGTCTCTGGGTGGTTCATTAACCCGGGGTGATCCTCCTGGACTCAAAGCCTTGTCCTGAGCCCAGGGCCATCCCGGAAGGCCCTCAGCTCTCCCTTGGGGTTGGAACTGGGGAGCCTCTTCTTGCCCTTGAGTCTAGAAAGGAGGAAGGGTCTTGACCTCTCCTGAGGTCCCATATACTCCGCAGTCTTGGGCTGGGGGTAGGGTTAGGTTGGGGGCAGCCCAGGGAGAGCAGGCACCCTGCAGGGTGCTTTACAAGTTAATGGAAGAGCTGAGAGAGCAAGCCCCTGAAGTCTTTAGTTTTTTGCTTTTTAAGTGTGTGATGGGGAGCAGTTGCTTGGACTTCCGTTGCTGTGGACTGCCAGCTGCGCGTCCCCCTGGTTTTGGGGTGCCCTACTGGAACCTCCGTTTCCTCACCTGTCCAGGAGGAGTGATAATGGCAGGGTTGTTTGAAGGATTAGGTAGATAATCCCAGTAAGCCCTCATTAGCCCTCCTGGTCTGTGGAATCTCTTTTTATCCCCCCTAACTTTGTTATAGATCTCTCCGGAATGTCTCTGGGTGGGATGGGAGGTGGGGGGCACAGGAGGGCAGACCCTGACCCTCAGCTGCAGGGTCCCTTGGGGGCATTGCCTTCTCCTGGGCTGTTTCAGTCACATACCTGACAACACCACCCACACCCAGGCCACAGAGAGCTTCACACTTGAAACCAGAACGTTTTGTTCCCTGACCCTGGCCCTTGTCTGGCTCCAAACCCCAAGTCCCTTGGGATAGTTGGCTGCAGAAACCAGTCTGAAACTGATGCTTGTTCTGTGAGGTGCCCTGGGGGCGTCAGTTGCACTGACCCAGAACTGCCAGCAAGTTCTCCCAGGCAGGGACACTGTCCTCCCAGCAGCCCATCTTGGCCACATTGGTCCCAGACAAGAGACCCAGAGCAGAGTGTCCTTCACACCTCTCCCCTCTCCTCATCTGTCACATGTGCCAGCCACCTAACCAGGTGAAGTGGCCTCTTTGGGCCCCCACGCCTGCAGGGTGGAATTTCTATGTTGGGCCACACACAGTGCAGGAAACTGACGCACAGAGTCAGGGAGATCCTGGGCTCAGCACGGCTCCTCCAGGACACAGCGCTCCATGGCCCACAGCAGTGGGCTCTCCTTGGTGTGTGGGCACCTTGGCTGGACTCGGCACCATGTGGGGCACCAGTGGGAGAAAGTGCTGAGGGGCTTGGGTACAGCAGGATGCATACAGTCTCCCCTTTGTGGGTGAAGAAAGAGTCCCCCTCCTGTGCGTGTGTGTGGTGTGTGCGCAATAGGCCACATGTGTTTGCAGCTGGCTGAGCATGTGGGGGCTCCCCAGGCCCTCCCAGTGCTCGCCAAGCCCGCCCATCCCGTACTGTCTTCTCCTTGGTGTCCAGGTGCCGTCCCTGCGAGGTTTTCCCTAGGGCTGTGGTCTCACAGGAAGCAGACACTGCCGCCCAAGGCTGCCTGACACCTAGAGGGCTGGGCGGGGTGGCAGGTCAAAGGTCAGCCCTGGCCCTTGGCTGAACAGGGTCCTTTCCCCTCCCGGTCCCACACTAGCAGCCACCTGCTGGGCATAGCTGCCCTGGGGGCTGTCCTCAGTACCCCCCAGCAGTCCCTGGCTGAACTGGATTGAAGCAAATACTTGTGTGGATGGCTTGACCTGTTGTCCTTGTCCAGACCAAACCAGAACCAACCGGCTGTTGCCTTTGGGCCAGGGCCTGGGGTTGCAGCTACTACAACCAGTTTGTTCTTGCCTTCTGGGGGGCCTCAGGCAGCTCCTAGCACTGGGTGGTCCCCACAGGACATAGTGGCCAGGTCTGGAGAGCTGGAGGTCAGGCCAGGAGCCCTCTACTGTGCGGCCCACCCAGGGGCTGGCCCTGAGCTAGGCGTCCCTGTGGGACACAGCCTCCCATGGATACTTTTGGGGGATGAGTGTGGGTCCCTGTGGCTGGCAGGCTCCTGGTGTGTGCTGGGCATGTGGAGCTGGCTCATGTGGGGACGGGCACAGTTGGGCTTGGCCAGAAAGCCAGGGATTGGTGTGCGCAGAGTGGGCAGCTAGAGCCCGAATCTAGGCCATGCGTCAGTAGAATGATAAGTAACAGTGCAGCCAGCCTAGCGGGTCCGGGGAAGGTCTGCCCAGTGGGACCACCCATCCCTGTCCTGGGCCCCAAGCCCAGCCACCCTGTGCCCAGCATTGTCTGGCCCTGGCAGGGAGGCTTGGATGTTGCTCATCCTTGTAGGTGGTGTCCCTGGGTCTCTGACCTTGGGGCCTTTGGAGTTCTAGGCAGCCCGAAGGGGAGATGCCCAGTCCCAGCCGTGGGAACAGGCTTGCACCCCAACTCCTCACCTCCTCTTGGCTCAGTTCTGCCCCTCTTGCCTGGTGCCTGTAGTGTCCGCTGCCTGGGTGGTCATCAGAGACGAGTGGGCAGGAGCCCACCACCAGCCACCCGTGGGCCCGCCTGGGCCCCTTGAGGCCCCTCGTCAGAGACCTCCCAGTGGTCAGGCAGGTCCTGTTCTCTGACAGATGGCTGTGTGAAGGGTGGTGTGAGCTGTGGGTTCAGATGTGCCCTTACCTGCGCACAGCCTGCTGTGAACAGACTTGCTGTGCTTTCAAGCGAGCCTGTGTGCTTGTGTGCCCACGGCCTGAGCCTGGCCTCTTGAGCCATTCCCCAGCTTCCCTTTGAACTGCTCCTGCCGCCCAGATGGGAGTTGGGGTGCTGGAGGAATCCCCTCTGGAGTGTCCCCTCTTCTCCTTGGAGCTTTAATTCAGCCAGAGGGTTCCAAGTGGAGCCTGCTCTGTGTGCTTCTGTGATGCTTGTGAGCTAAGAATGGATTTTACGTTTTCAGATATTCTAGAGAGAGTAAGACTTTGTGACACTGTTTACATGTGTTATGTTGGGGAAAGGACCCAGGGCCTTGCACTCACATGGCTGGGCCCCCCGCGGAGCTGTACCCCACCCCCCCCCCCCTGCTCCCCACTCACTGCAAGTGCTTTGCAGAATTGAGTCCTTGGGACAGAAACTGGTTGGTAGAGCTGACGATGCTGGATGCCACCCCATCCTCTACAGGAGCCATTTGGGCAGCCCTGTTGGTGTGTTTGAGCTGGACTCCAGGCTGAAGATCCTTTCTTAGTCAGGCCCTGCTGCACCTTGCCCATGGGTTGCATAGTGGGGTGCTGCATCCTGGCTTGTCTGCTTTGGATACCTCACCATTGCCCATTTCACCCGCAGAGGCCCTGGGGTCTGAGCTGGGCCAGCAGGAGCCGATGGTCTTTGGCAGCGGGGACACTGTGGAGCTGAGCTGCCATCCACCCAGAGGTAACCCGGGGGGCCCCACAGTTTGGGTCAAGGATGGCGAGGGGCTGGTGTCCTCTGACCGGATCCTGGTGGAGCCCCAGCGACTACAGGTGCTGAATGCCTCCCATGAGGATGCTGGGGCCTACAGCTGCTGGCAGCAGCTCATGCAGCGTGTACTGTGCCGCTTCAGCGTGCACGTGACAGGTGAGAGCCTGCTGGGCTGTGCCAGGCTCAGGGCCCCTGGTGTCATCCTGGGCAGTGGTGTCTGAAGGACTGTGGGGGGAACCTGGATGTGGCCTGTCACAGGCCCAGTGCCCATGCACACCCTGCCTCTTTACAGATGCCCCCTCCTCAGGAGATGACGAAGATGGGGAAGATGTGGCTGAAGACACAGGTGAGACAGAGGCCAGGCCTGGAGCTGGCTGGGGCGGGTACCACTTCCTGCCTGCCCAGTCCTGCCATCTGCTGGCAGATGGGACACAAAGGCCTGGGGGAGACCTCAGATCACAGGGAGGAAAGGTCAGGTCCCTCAGGGTGTGAGGGCCGGAGCCATTGTAACTGGATGCTGGGCATCACTCTAGATGCTGTTCCTGGGCTCCAGGTGACAAACTGGGGGTGGGAGGGGACAGCCATGCTGTAGATGCGGAGAGCAAGGCACAGGGCTTTCCATGATGGGGCACAGCACTCAGGTGGCAGCTGTGGGAAGGGCTGGGCACTATTGTAAAAGGGGGCTCTAGCAGTGACTCCTCTGGTAGCATCAGGGTGACAATGCCAGGTGTGGCCTGGAACAGTGACAGGTGGAGGACTCTGCCTGCTGTGCAGGAGTCAGGGCTTTCTGGTTTTGGAGGAGCTGAGTGTGAGAAGCTGAGAGACTGTGCAGAGGAGGAGGATAATGGCCAGGTGGTCACTGGGCTTGGGCTGAGGGCCCCAAGCCCTACCGGTCTTCCTATTCTAAGGCATCTCCTTGCCCTATCCCTGGAGGCCTGGCTCCCAGCATCCTCACTACTACTCCCCTGTGCCTTGGTGTCCTCCTCCAGGAGATGGGTGCGTCTTGGGTGGAAGGCAGTGAGGGTCGCCATGGAGAATCCAGGGAAGGGATGGAGTCTTGTGGGGGTGAGGCTGGGTGTGAGGGAGGACCTGGGAACCGGGGTAGGGAGGAAACACCTCTGGGGCGCTGCAGGGGGTGGCTGAGTGTCTCTGAAGGTCCTGTAGACTCTGGTGGCTGACCTCCGGCCTGGGAAACCCCAAGGTCTGTCCTGCAGTTGTAGTAGGAGCAGCTGCTGGGGCAGTGTCCACCTGGGGCAGGGAGCCAAGAGAGACCAAGTCTTGCCCCCCCAAGCGTCGGACCCCTGCTCCTTGCCGGGTCCTGGTTCTGACTGCGCCTTGGCCAGCAGGGCCCCCATACTGGACTCGACCTGAGCGGATGGACAAAAAGCTGTTAGCCGTGCCGGCTGCCAACACTGTGCGCTTCCGCTGCCCGGCTGCCGGCAACCCCACACCCTCCATCTCCTGGCTGAAGAATGGCAAGGAGTTCCGAGGGGAGCATCGCATCGGAGGCATCAAGGTGGGTGCGGGGTCAGAACAAGCTTGGCCTCCGGGCCCTGGGGCCGGAGCCTGTGTCTTCACCACCGTCCCCTTTCTGGCAGCTGCGGCATCAGCAGTGGAGCCTGGTCATGGAGAGTGTGGTGCCCTCGGACCGTGGCAACTACACATGTGTGGTGGAGAACAAGTTTGGCAGCATCCAGCAGACGTACACGCTGGATGTGCTGGGTGAGCACCAGCCAGGTGAGGGTGGGACAGCTGTCCAGGGCTCTGCTGACCCCTATGCTGTCCTGCTCCTGCAGAGCGCTCCCCACACAGGCCCATCCTGCAGGCGGGGCTGCCGGCCAACCAGACCGTGGTGCTAGGAAGTGATGTTGAATTCCACTGCAAGGTGTACAGTGACGCACAGCCACACATCCAGTGGCTAAAGCACGTGGAGGTGAATGGCAGCAAGGTGGGCCCTGACGGCACACCCTACGTCACTGTGCTCAAGGTGGGCACCAGCCTCAGACGGGAGTCTGTGCTAGGGCACTGGGGTAGGCTCTGGGTATTGGCACTTCTGGGGAGGAGCTCAGTTGGGCGACCCAGGTGCTGAGCTGGGACTCACTCCCTCGCTGTGCTCCGTGGGGGACCCCCAGCTCAGAGCTGGGCCCATGGAGGTCTGTCTGGGTGGGCCCTGCCTGTGATGGTGTCCAGGGCTGGAGGTGGCGCCTGTCCTCCCAGAGTCCTGTGGACCTCCGAGTGCTGGGCCACAGCTCCAAAGCTTGCCCAAGTGGCCGGGTCCTTGGTGTGGGCAGTATGGGGCTGGTGTGCCACCCTGCCAGTTGCCTCTGCCCTTAGCTTTGTTCCCATGACCACAGGGGTGGGAGCCACCCCAGTGGTGATGGTTGCAACACTGGAAGCCCAAGAGAAACATCTGTTCCAGGACAAGGTGGTCTAGTGTGGGTGGGGAGGGGGCACCCTGCGGACAGTGGAGCCTGCTGTGCCTCCGCTGTGGGTGCTTGTGAAACCCCAGGGGGGGCAAGTGGGGCTCGCAGAGGGGTCTGGGCTCCTGTCCAAGGTGGGAGATGGGGAGGGTGCGTCCTGGGAGACGCCACAGCCCACCCGCCGCTCTGAGGTGCCTCCACACTGCCGCCTCGAGGGAGCCTTCCAGCCCCTCCCCAGGTCTTCATCCAGCCGCCTCCTGCCTTGCACCCAGCCCAGACTGCCTCCAGACGTGCCTGAGCTGGGTCTCTTGTCCCCGCAGTCCTGGATCAGTGAGAATGTGGAGGCAGACGCGCGCCTCCACACCCGCCGCTCTGAGGTGCCTCCACACTGCCGCCTCGAGGGAGCCTTCCAGCCCCTCCCCAGGTCTTCATCCAGCCGCCTCCTGCCTTGCACCCAGCCCAGACTGCCTCCAGACGTGCCTGAGCTGGGTCTCTTGTCCCCGCAGTCCTGGATCAGTGAGAATGTGGAGGCAGACGCGCGCCTCCGCCTGGCCAATGTGTCGGAGCGGGACGGGGGCGAGTACCTCTGTCGAGCCACCAATTTCATAGGCGTGGCTGAGAAGGCCTTTTGGCTGCGCGTTCACGGGCCCCGAGCAGGTAACGACTCTGTCCCACGCCTGCCTGGCACGCTGAGCTCCAGCTCCGACGCCCTGGCCGTGTGCCTGCCTGCACGCCCCTGCACGGCCCTGTCCTGCTCGTGCCCACCCCAAGGCTCCCTCTGCTTGCGGCCGCTCTGCCAGACACGGATGGCACCAACTGCTGCTGTGGCCACCTGCTTTGAGCTCCCCAGGCCTGCAGTGGCCCTGCCTACCTTACCATGTGTATCCCAGAAAAGGTCCCCAACCTTCCAGGGCCGCACCCCACACTGTGAGACCCCACCTGCCTCTCTCCGGCTGCTGAACCCAGCGCCTCCTCGCTGTTGACCAACATCTGTCTGGCCACCTGTATGTCCGTCCCCGTCTGCACCCTCCCCTCTGTGCTAACCCTGCATGCTGCCCCAAGCGGCCCTGTGCTGCCTGTCCGCCTGCCTGATGCTCACCTGGGACAGAGGACTCGCCGGTGGAGGGACTGGCTTCGGGCTCAGTACCCGTGCTCGAGGCAGAGGCCTGGGCAGCGTGGCCATGGCAGGACCGTGGCGGTGGCCGAGGCGGTGGTGGCGGCATTTTCTTTGCAGCCTGGCTGGATATC